GTGTGAAATAGAGAATAACGAATAATTCCACATAAGCACTACGTGGTCACTTCGGCCAAGGGCCGGCATGGAGGTGATCTCGTCTATGCTGTCTGGTGTTTTCGTAAAGACCAGATCCAGGCAGTTCGCCCTTTGTCCTTCACGTGTTCTCGTTGGGAACATTACATGTTGTGTGAGGCACGCATTTAATGTCTTGATCAACAGGCGGTAATCGAATGCCGATTTTGGACCTGACGCTTGGAGGGTATTCCAGTTTGTTCCTGGTGCGTTGAAGTCGCCCATGATCATGATGTTAGGTCGACTGGAAAATTTCTCCAACTGCTCCAATAGTTGAGTGTCGGCGATTCGGTCTGTCCGTGGTGGTCGGTAGACAGTGAGGACATCGAGACACGGGGAACCGGTAGTCTTGATGGTCAACCAGATAGCTTCCGTACTGCACGCAAACTTGTTGGTGTTATCCGACACTGCCAGACCGTCATCCACATACACAACGATACCACCACCCTGACGATGTTCCCTGTCCCTCCGATAAATTTGGTATCCAGGCAAGGCTACTTCGTTATCGCTAATAGTCCCAGACAGCCAGGTCTCAGTTACTGCTAAAACATCTGGAGACAGCTTGGCAAGGCAAAGTTTTAGTTCGTCTAGTTTCTATATGAGGCTTTGGGCATTCGTGTACTAGCACCTCAGTTTAGCACCAGCCGAATTTCCCGTTGCATTTGTTACTGCTGTGAGCATTACTCCGTTATCGCGGACGTCGTGTTCTCTAGGCTCTTCCGTTACCTGATTGGTTCCATTTATATGCCTTGTTTCAGTCAGATCACCGGACGCTACGGGCTCACTTGTGTTGGCGCCTTGATCAGGTGGTTCAACGAAGGTGTCTGTTTGAGCTGAGTAGCTGTCGTCGTTCGCAGTATTACAGGCTGGTTCCACTGAAACGGCATATATTTCCGAACTACCTTCCCCTTGAAGATAGCCAGATTGTGCTCGCCATCGTTCAGTCTTGATTTTAACTCCAAGACAAGTTCCCGGCGTTTCAACCGTTCCGCTGGTGAATAGACCGGTTGAAAAAACCTGTTTGTGTGTGTTACTGAGATCGGTTTTTTTAGAGAGGATAAACTTGATTTGCTCTTTGTTCTCCAGCATAATTTTGAGAGGGCGAGGTGGTTGTGCTACTGTCCTGTCTTCACTCCGTTTTTTTATCCGGAATGCTTTCAGAACCTTTATTTCTATGTCTGCCGGCAGTAAATGATTTAGCAGACCATGAAAAGAAGCAAGGTCCTCCGAGACACGGTCTTCAGGTCTGACTGCTTTCGATTCTGACAAACCCTGAATAACCAGACACTGCTGGCGAGCATGGTCCTCCTTACTCTGTCTTTCCGGTGAATGCGCTGCATGTGGGCGAGGACGATTTACAGAGTCATCGCTTGGACGTTCACTTTTACTGTCTGCCGACTGTCCCGAGCAACCCATCAGGGCTGGATGTGACTTCAGAATCCTTTCATGGCGTTTCCCTCTCCCATCTACCCACGGGTTTATGTCTTCGCATTCAGATACGTGTTCTGTAGTGCGCTCGGGGTGGTTGCCAGAACAAGAGGGCAACAGTAGACTGAATGACCCAGGTATATCGTCTCCAGGCAGAAGAGAAATCGCATCACTTACAGCAAGAGGCTTCGGTGAGATAGCTTCCGCGACAGGCATTTTTTTGCGAAATCGCTTCAGACATCTTGCGTGGGAATCGAGTCTCCCTTTATCGACGGCTTCATTTTCATTGTCCTGCTGTAACCGGCGTCTGAGGTTTTGGCTGTTGAGTTGCTACTCGTGTTTGAAGATTCCCCCAAGGAGATATTTTTGCGCGTTTTTTGCGTTTTGCTCTTCGTTTTTGGGGTTCTAACACTGGACACGTTCTGGCCGACTACGGTCTGATTCACGAGCGTCCTTAAATCAGCAAGCTTCTTTTCCAGTTGTTCTACTTTGATTTGAATATCTGCGCACCCACCACAAGGCTCGTCTTCGTACCTCACACTTTTTGCGGTATTTACGCTTTTTGCACGCTTTGCTGGTCGTTGGCTGGAGGCGAAGGTAGAGCGAGCACAGGTTCTGGATGCGAAGGACAACTCACCGGACTTATCTTCCAAAGAGGTGCCGTCGCTGGCCGTACTACTGCAGTTAGCTTGCTGAGAATCCATAAACTTCGACGTGATATAATAGGTATACTTTCGCTTTCGATGTTATAACGAATACGTCGGCTTATATATGATGAATTAAAGTGAGTATTCAAAACTCAATAAGCGAAAAAATACTTAAAATCCGATAAATTTTGTTGAATTTAATCAGAAGCGACTTAGCCTTTCCCAGATCTCGTGGGACTTGAATAACTGCAGACCTTGAAGGATTTTGAGCGATTGGCTTTCTAGGCTGCATATCCGCGATTCGGTTGCGTAGCCGGTTGCGTTGTCAGTTGGACCGTGCTGATAAACAAATTGCGCTTAATCCAGGTTCCTAGCGAATTTCGATGCTCATAGTACGGCCATTGCAATTTCTATAAAAGTAAATAAGAAGGAAATGGAATGAAGTGTACTGGGCAGGGTAGATCGTAGACATGCAACAAGCAGTAAGGACTTCTGCGAACCTAATGTATGTGAGCAATAAATAAAAGCGAAATGTCGTACCTTATGAGGGTTGTATCTGCGTTTTGACCACACTCCTTTTCCGCACCGAAGCCCGGTTGTACACAGCCGTCTGAAATCCCTAGATCCAATTGGATCCCTTGGGTTCCGAAGCCACAAGTTCAACAGCCTTCTCATTACACCTAGGTAAACTAAATGCAGGGGATCTAGAGGAAATGCACTTATCATTCCTACATTACAAACTAGCAACAGAGAAATACCGACTCGATGACTGCCATCAACAGGAGTCAAGAAGTCCTCATCCGTCCTAGCAGGCTCAGACACACTGTCATAAACTTCTTTATCAATTTACTCCCCTTTTACATAGCAACGTTCACAACCATAGTATGCATTAACGGTCTTAATTTGCTTAATGAATGCCCTGACAGGCGCATCACAGATAACGGCTGCCAGACGAAACTGCAGCGTTCTGTCGATGTCGTCGAAACGAAGACCTGAACTTGATAGGGTTCTTAACTCATCAACTAGAGGTTTACAAAACGATTGAACATCCGGCGGCTTTCCCTGCCCGCAATAAATTCCTACAGCAAAAATATGACAAAGAAATGGCTGGATAATTCTGCCTAAAATTGGCCAAAATTCTCATTTGGTCTTCTTGTGAATAGGAAGACCGTCAATGGCCAAGTAAGCAACTATCTCTTTACCAACCACCTTCATGGAAAAGGCACGTAACTGCTCAGTCAACTGCTTTACAAGTCCTAAGTGAACGTACTCACCGCCGCCCAATGCCGTTACCGGTGGCAGATCGCCTGCTCCGCCGAGAAGTGTTCGTGCGTCCAAGGGCAAGCTGTACAGCTCCTCTGGCGTCATCTGCCTCAACGCCTTTAGCAGATTGGTCAGATGCTGGCGAGGTAGTTCGGAACTGATTGCCCAGGATCGCTGCACGTCTCGTGAGGTTACCTCCACTTCAGTTGGGAGAGACACGGGACGCTCTTCAAATGGACTTTGCCACTGCTCACTCATCGACGTCGATGTGTCCACCGAAGAGGAAATAGGGGGGTCTGTTAACTCTGAGCCTGTGTATGAAACTCTCGACGAAGATGATGACTTTGGCGGGTACTTCTCCCTCATTATCGCAGCAATTGCAAGGATACGACTTCTTAACTCCCTATCGACACGCCTACGATAAGTTCTCCGACAGATTGGTCTGAACATGAAGAAAAGGAAGCGGATAAACACAATATTATGGGTTAATAGAAAAGGTAAAGCTCAGGACAGCTCTGCGTGCGCTCAGCAGCGTAGCAAGGCAGGAAGTGACGCTCATGGGCGCCTGCAGGGGCGACCACGCCAGGCAAGCACGCCGTGCTATCGATAAAAATCGATACCAATATCAGCGTACGCTCACTCATGCGCGCCCCTGGGAAAAATGCCGATACGGCTGCAGTAAACCAATCAGAGGCCAGTTGCGAGCAAGACGCGAGCAGCGAGTCTCGATTCGCAAGTCATTACTATTAGGGAAGTTAATTAAAATTCGTTACTATTCGAAGATTTTCGCACAGTCTGCATCAATAATCTAAGTTTAAAAGTAGTGGGAAATAGCATATAAATTCTTATATATTCCCTATCTATATACACGACTGATGTTTACTTTACTGTCGATAAGCTAGATCTTTCGGTCATTTTGCGTCCACAGGGCCTTATCGAAAAACATAAACACATTTTTACCACTTTCGACTCGCTATTGGACTTAAATACACTCACAAGCGGCCTAACAAGTGCAATACAAATAGGCTGCATCATACACTTGGTATCGCTAGAAATAACAGGTAGATCAAAACGCATAATTAATATTATTATCAGCAATTAACACAACACAAAAATAGAACAATTTATACACTAGTGTGGCCTAAGCATGCCCGTAGCTTCCACAAAAAGGCTTCATTAAAGGAGCAATAGCAAACTCGACTTGACAGTTCGACCATCGCTTTCGATTATGTCCACCGTGTGCCCCACAGCTGCAGCTGCAACGGTGGGAGCAGGGACGGTGACTTACGCAGGGGTTTATAGTGCCGGTAGACTTGCGTAGCATCTACCTACACTCTCTCCTCCTCCCTCGCCCGAGCCCGGTGTCAAGACAGAGTCAATAAGACCGGAGACGAGGGAGGCCGCAGGTGGATGGCTCGGACGGATCCTCACCTTGGCGTTCCACCACACCCCCTGTTCCACACAACAAATAATCAGGATTTCAACCAAACATAACAGAGATTTGGAGGCTGGCACGGCCGAAGCCGCACCTGGGCCTGCCGCCAAAGCCTGGCTCGGATCCCACACTGTGATGGGAGTGCCATAAAGGCAACATTAAAAAGGAGCCATTGCAGCCTGACTCTCAGACCGCCTCTGGTCAAGGAGGAGGTCCAAGGTACCCCGCCAGTTGGCAACCTTCCAAGCCACGGCTTTTAGCGCACCGTGATAGCTTCAAGCGCGTCAGATTGTTTATATTGAGGAGGAAGTGCGCTGAGTCGTCAACCTCACTCTCCCCTCCCACTCCCACACCCCAGCCGCTGTCCGAGCCGGTCAGCAGACTGAAGTGGGGAATGGGCGCGGTGGCTGTCATGGTCGACTGACCATGACTGCGCGCGCCACGGCAAGACCTGGCCCCCCATACACACAACACCAGGATTTCACACAACGGGGGTTGAACGGCGTGTCTCTCACTTGCGTGAGAGTGCCGTGAAAGGTGCTGTTTCAGCCCGTTCCCAGCCCACCAGTCTGTCACTCCACACAACACACACACACAACGCGACGAACTGCGTGAACCGAGAGTGGGCGTCAATCAGCAACATTCCTATCCACGACGCTTGACGTGTCGGGATAGTCTCGGACTCAAGTCGCCCGTGCAGCCGAAGCCGCATGGGGACCGAGTCGAGATGCGGACTTCCCACTTGCGTGGGAGGTGGCAGTTGGGTGCATGAGGTGTGTGAGTGTTGATTTCTGGTATGGTGATGGTGGTGGTAGTGGTGGAGGTAGGGAATGAGTGAATGTGTGGTGTGACCGGCGGTTGTCTACCGCAGGTCGTCGTGGATGCGCATGAGGCCGAAGAGACCCATGCGATGCCTGAAAGTGCGAGGGCAGTGTGGGTAGTTGGGACGAGCTTGGTGGGTATAGGCGGGTGCTCCAGTCACTGGTTTGTCAGCCTCTGTGCGATGGATCCGCAAGTGACCGACCAGGCCGATGCGTGAGGTGAATGTGCGTGGACAGTGTGGGCATGAGAAGTCGGCGGTGTCAGTGTCAGCTACAGAGGAGGCGGTGGTGGTGGTGGTGGTGGCGCGGACGGATGGAGCGAGGGTGGGGGTGTGCACGGTGGATGTGTTGGATGTGGTGGGTGTTTCGGAAGTGCGGTCAAGGCCGCTCTCGTGGATGCGCATGTGGCCGAATAGGCCCACGCGATGCCTGAAAGTGCGAGGACAGTGTGGGCAGTGGAGGCGAGTGCGGTGGGTGTAGGTTGGTGCTCCAGGCACTGGTTCGCCAGTCTCTGTGCGATGGATTCGCAAGTGACCGACCAGGCCGATGTGTGAGGTGAATTAAAAATAGAGCTCCACTTTCCGGGTCTGATCACTTAGTGCTACTAGGACTTCCAAAAGTCTATTCCACCTCAAAGTGTCAATTGCTTACAAAACCCGAGAGGAAAATTACTGTTCGAGACACATCCGTAGATAAGATCCACTTACTGCAGAGTTCAATTACTAGTACAATCCCAACTTTTCTAGCACTACAAAATGCTGAATTATGCTCTTATTATCTTACGCTATTTTTGAATCACATTTTTGATATTTGTTGTCCCCGTGAAACTGTTATGGTCAGGCCTGACAGAATCTCCTCACCATACCTCAAACACTTGAGACGTCGCAAGGAAACCTTCTATAAACTAGGTCAGCGTGACAAGGTGAAGGATATCAATGTTTTAATAAAGAACGAAATTGCCAGACTTAACGGTTTATTCGTTAGTCAACTTTTTTCTACTTCATCCACCCCTTCTCTCCTTTTACTTCTGCTGAACTGTGGAGGAATCTCAAGCGTCTCACTGGTCAACGTAATATACTTGAACCCATTGACGTAGATTTAAACTTTTTAAATCGGAATTTTATCTGTACTTCTAAGGACTCCCCTTCTCGCCCAAACGAAATTTACCTACCACCATGTGACTTTACTCCTGTGACTGTGACAACAGTGGAACACCATCTCAAAAAGATTCGCGGGTCAACGGCGGCTGGGCCGGACGGTGTCTCTCCTTTTCTCCTTAAGTCTTGCTGTTTGCAGATAGCTCCCGTCTTGACCCACCTTATTAATCTATCCTTCATAGAGTCCAAGATTCCCTAAAAATCTTTAACTTTTGCTCCTAAATCTTTCCGTCCTATTGCCTGCTCTTCTGCACTCCTGAAACTTACTGAACGAGTTGCGTTAGATTCCCTTAAGTACTCCTCCGTCAATTTTTCTGATCCTCTACAATTTGCATACAAGGCAAAGCGCAGCACCTTGGATGCTGTTGCTTTAGTTGTCCATTCAGCTTTGAGAGACTTAGACAAGGGATGCCGTGCATATGCATGTGCTTTTCTCGACTACTCATCCGCCCTCAACACTATTCCGCGCCAACTCCTCCTGACCAAAGCAGCTGCGTGCGACACTCCGAGCTGGGTTGTCTCTTGGCTTAGAGATTATTTTTCCTCCCGCACTCAGTTTGTCCAGTCGGGAAAGAGAAAATCTTCTATTCTTCCAAATAATTGTGGAGTTCTACAAGGTTCCATCTTATCCCCTCATCTTTTCTCCCTACATACTGATGATTTGAGATCGCCAAACGATTGCCTGTATGTTAAGTATGCCGATGACATGGTCGTAGGCCACCCACTCAAAAACCTGACTCACCTACAGTCTTGAAAGGATGGCTTAGATCACGTCTCCGCATGGTCTTCGAATAATGGACTCCTACTCAACAATCAGAAATCAGTACAGTGTGTGTTTCGATTGCGACCCTCTCCCATTCCTGAACCTTTGGATATTCTTCCCAATGAGGTACCTTCTTTCCGGTACCTAGGTGTTACTTTATCCTCAAATCTCTCTTACTCTCTTCATATGGAAACCCTTTTAACAAAAATTCAAAAACTTGTTAATTACATTCGTCGTCTACGTTCATATCACACACCCCAGTCCTTAATCTGGCGATTCATAGATGGCTGTATTCTTCCACTCATGCTTTATTGTTCTCCAGTTATTTTTCCAGCTTTACTTAAAAAAGATCTAATCATTTTTAGACGTGTCATTCGAATGCTCGCCTCTGCTGCTGGTGTTTCCCATCATATTTTAGTTGATATCATCGTGCAGCGACACTTCAACTCGGTGGAGCAATTCGCTGACCGAATTCTGAATGACACCGTCCATCCCCTTCATAATGAGTTAATGGC